TGCTCTGGTGTCTCTGAGAGCAACAAGTCCTGGCTGCAAATGATGGGGTCAGGGGTGGTGGCTTGGGCTGAAACACAATCACCCATCAGCTGATATTCCTTGGCCTGGAAGACTGGTACTAATTTGTTCTCCCAAGTCAATCTCCCATTCAGTCTTGAAACCACATGTCATATAAAGCATGGGATAGAGAAGGGAAATAGCTTCTGAACCCAAAACTTTTGGCTTGATCAGCTGCCACCAGGATTAGTTGACCCGGGTACAGATTGGGCAGCAGCTCAGCCAGAGCAATCCTAACATATAATAGGGTTGTTCAGTAAATATCTATATAATTTCTTGTGAATATCACTAAAGGCAATTCCATGTTTGTTGCCTTCCCTATTTAATTATGGTACTACCTTCTATATTATGGAGGAACTTCTAGCTTTTCCTTTTTAGCAATCATTATTTCTGCTGAGTAAAACACTATGGAATAAAAGAGCTCAAGAAGGGGACATTGGAAAGTAAGAAAATAACAGAGGGAAAGACATTTTTAAGCAAAGTTGGGGCCAGGTGGGACACCATGTTTGGAATGAGAAATAATGGTATAAAAATAGCTGAAATGTTTATTATATGGGGTCTCAATCAGGAATTTAATAGCAGCAGCTTTGTAAAATATTAAAGGATAATGAATTATTAAAAGGCATCTTTGTTTAGTAAAAAGTTACAGAATGTGAAATATCTCATGACACTCCTGCTTTACAGTGTAAGGAACATCCTGGGGCCAGAAATCACATTGTACCAGAAGGTCTGAAAGTATTAATTTCATCAAGCCTGTTCACAGAACCATCCTTTGGCAAGAAATGTTTTCCCACACTTGGCTATTGCTATACCTTGGGATCCGTCAGTAACCAAAGCTCACTTACTCCCCACATCTCCCTGCTTTTTTATATTATAACTGCAACTAATGCATATCTTCTTAGAGGTGCTGATATCTGACAAGCTTCCAGCTGACTGTAAGAAAACCCCACAGAATCAAGAATAAGAAAACAAGCCCTTGACGAACCATGTAATATGTTTCTGCATATTCCAAGGATTGAAACCATTTAGGTCATCTGAAAGCTTTTCTGTAATACTGGAGATAACATAGGACTGCAACTTTCCTGCATAGCTTGAATGTTTGATGTACTTTTACGCAAGAGATCTAGATTAACCCTTTTATGATTCCAAAATCAAAATAATTACACCTTCATCTTTTTCCAGTCACACTGAGAACTATTGTATGGAAGACTTTATACAAACTGATAAGCACATAACTGTGTCTGACTTAAAACTTTTTATCTGATCACCCAAGCCCATTACATCAGCTTCGAAAGTATTTAACTTAGCTTCAAGTTTATTATTAACAGCCTTTTAAAAATATTTTTTTAATTGTAGTTAGACTCAATACCTTTTTTCCATTTTTACAATGCACTGAGGATCGAAACCAGGGCTCCACATGCACTAGCAAGTGATGTACCACTGAACCACAATCCCAGCCCCCTCAGCAGCCTCTTAATGTCAGAGGGCTCTTGAAGCATTTTGTGTCAAAGTGTTTATTATGAGTACTATTTTCCCAGTTTCTCCAAAATTAATTTTTCTTGATAATCAGCTACTATACTCCCTGCTTTGATTAAGGGAATTCATACTGGTTCAAGGAGAAATGGTCCCATAAACTAAGAGAGATTTGGATCCATTTTTATTTACACTTTAAGTGCTCATTTATCTAATGTCAATTTTGATCCCATATATATAATATATAGACCAAGCACAAATATAGATAATATACACAGGTGTGTACCCATACATAAAATGGGGAACAGAGATCTTATAGCTTTCTATAGGTAGATCTCCAAGGTAGTAGGCAATGCTAACAGGTTAAATCTGAGGTTTTAATAAACAAAACCTGATAAAAATTAAAATACAGCCTGTACTTTTAGAACTTAAATATAGGGCAGGCTCATACAATTGGAAAATCAGGTGTAGTCACTAACAGTAATTTGGGGTACTTAAAGGTTCAAGAGGTCACTAGTCCTTGATGGCTAACATTTTCCCCAACACCACTGTATCTATGTTCTCTTCTTAGGATTTTGTAAATGTAGATTTTCCAATATATTTGAGAGCCAACCCTCCATATACTGGCCTCTATAGTTAGGTAAGAATGACCCAACAAATATATAAATTTAGGCATGCAGGATTAAATGTTAATTTATCATAAAAGTATGAATTTTAAAATACAGAATGAAGCTGGGCATGGTGGTTATATACCTTTAATTTCAGTAGCTCAGGAGGCAAAGGCAGGAAGATCATGAGTTCAAAGCCAGCTTCATCAAATGTGAGTTGCTAAGCAACTCAGTGAGACTCTGTTGCTAAATAAAATAACAAAACAGGGCTAGAGATGTGGCTCAGTGTTGAGTGTGCCCAAGTTCAATTCCTGGTTACCACCCTCCCCACAAAAAAAAATTAAAAGTCTTAAAAATTACATGACTGTAATTTCTCTCTAGCAACAGAGTATGCAGAACATCTTTATCAGAATATAGTGCACTTTTGAAACCTTCCTCAGCCCTCAGCATAAGGATTCTTTTTAACAATTTTTTATACTGTCCTACTACATGCAGAGAAATCAATGGGGTTGCAGGTAGAATGCTTGCACTGCTGTTTGTCATACATAGGAATGCTACCTGTGCACTTCTATTTGTACACATATACAAGTGCATTATTTCAGTCTTGATTTGAGTCCTAACAATGTCTAATTTTCACTTTTACTTTTATAATCACTCTGCATCCTCCCTGAATATATCTCAAATCTTTTATGTAAAAGATAAAACTTGACTTTGTTAACCTGATAAAATAGATAACAAGTAAACATTGATATGGGGAAGTTAACATACTTATTTTGTAAAGATTTAATTCAAATACACACGGGATAACTGAAATAAACACTATCCTCCCAAACTTCCTCTTAACCTTTTATCACATTGTAATCAAACAACAAATTAGATTTCATGCAAATTTTTATTTGGAACAATTTAACAATATTTTTAAAAAAATCTAAACTGATAATGTTTATTTTTCAGTTAACAATAACATTTATGTGATTATTCTGAACAGTTTTCCTCTTAAATATTTCATGGAGAGATAGTTAATACATTCTCTCCCCTAAAAAAGTGAACATACTCGCTTAGTGTAGTATTCAATTAACAGCAATAGTAGTATTTTTTATGGAAAATTTGGTAAGCAACTGAGTGTTATTTTTAATATCTGCTTCGGGCCCCTCTTTCAGATCGGCTTCCCTCACGACCTCTAGAACCCCCACATCTGGAGCTACTATATGATTCTCTGGGAGTATTGTACACCCTTTCCAGAGAAGATGTAAACCCTCTTTCTTGTCTACCACCACGATCACGACCACTTGAATAGACATCACTTCGGCTACTTGAATAAGTTTCCCGACTTCCACCATATCCATTTCTTGAGCTGTTGTAATCCTCATAGCGACTGTTTCCACCATAAGCCAGTGGAGGTCCTCGTGTAGGTGGTGCACTTCGGGAGCTCCCTGTAGGGTCAGTGATCAAATGACAATATTAAAATGAATATTTTTTTTGTTATCAAAACTATGATTTTAATTGTGTACTAAATAGGAAATGAACATGGCTGGAGTATCATCTATTTACCTCATTCCTATACTTAACAGAATTAAGCATTCTCATCATTTTAAAATGTTCTAATTTTCCTTTAGTGGGACAGATGAGAACGCCAAATTTCTTTAAAATCTTTCATTTAAACTAAAGCTATAAAAATAATACAGATCTTCAAACTAATCAAAATTGCCATGCTATATATTGTTTCACATCTTAACTAAAATTCCACAAAGACACTAATCTGACAAATATAATGTGTAATTTACAAGTCAAAGACAAACCCTTACCATAACTTTCATATGCCTCTCTGTAAGAGCTTCTGGTTGTATGATCAGAATAATCTCTATCACGACCTCCACCATAGCTTTCACGATCACTAAATTAAAAAAAAAAACTTATTTAATATTAGAATTAAAAATTTCAAATAATATAGCCAGTTAAAAAATTACAATACCTATAGCTTTTAGAAGAATGATCATCTCGAGAACTATAATGGCCATAATCACGATCACGGTATGCATATTCTCTATGTGGCTGAACATAATCCTTGGTGTCTCGGGAACTTGGATAAACTCTGCTTGAATAACTTAAGGCAATAAATTTAAACAGTAACTGAGTATTCACAAAACTACAACTCAAACATAACAAAAAATTTTCAATTGAAAAAGTAAACTATTTGAATACACATACCAAAATAACATAATTAGATATCAGAAACATGCAAACAAAATCTTAATACTAGGACACATTTCTAATACCCGTTAATAGTATTAAAATTTTTAAAAATAGACAATAGCTTTAAATTTTAAATATGGACACAGGAAAACTGAAAGTTGGTCCATTTCTGATGGAACGCCTATGTACTCTTATGTAAATGTAAAATTTCTTAACTCTTCAAATAGTGAAACTTCACCATATGACCCAACTATTCCATCCACACATGCTCAAAAAATTAAGAAACTCAAATACTTTTATATAAATATTCCTATGAATTCTGTGGTGGAAATATCCCAAGCAAAGTTCAGGTGATATACATATAACTGACTAGGAAAAGAGCATGCAAACACACACACACACACACACACACACACACACACACACACTTTTTAATTCCATGAATATGAAGTCCTCATAAATGTTCAGAATTAGAAGTATTTATTGCATAGAGCATATTATATCACATTTCACTGAATATTTCACTTTAAAACATTTAATTTTAAATACTTCACTCAACAAGAAACTATTTTTATTAATCTCCTTTACCTATCTTTAGAAGAGTAACCATCATCTCTTGGTGACACATAATCATCTCTCCGGGAAGAGACTTGCTCTCTACGTGGCCCATCTCCATAATACTCTCTCCTTCGAGACACAGGACCTTTAATTTTAAGATAAATTTTGTGACTATTCCAAGTTACCCATGGTTCATACAGACAAAAATTTAAAAAAAGAACAGCCCTGCTCTTTAATATGTTAATATTTAAAATAACCAACCTTCAGACATATTTTTACAAACTGGCATATTGCATAGCCTTTAAATTACCATAAGTAGTAGCTTAAAATTCTGGGTTAAGTATATTTTAGCAGTATTATTCAATCATCAAGTATACCTCTATATCAACTTTTCTCCTCTATCATTATGTCACTCATCTCTGAATTACTTTTTCAAAAGCCTCATAAACTTCATTTCTAGCATATTGATTCCTCTGTGCTAAATATAACAATGCATAAATGTCTTTAAATATTTAAAAGTTTTAACTGAAAAGATTTAGTGGGTTTTCTAATATTTATGTTGTTATTCTAGTTAAAAAATCACTGAGCATTTCTTCAAAACACATTAAACCAGATTATAAAAAATTAAATTGCTTTATTATAACCTGGTTCCCACTTACTCCATTTATCAAGATTCTTTCCACCAATTATTTTTAAGACCTCAGTTTATTTTGATTTTATATATGGTAACTAACGCTCTCTAAAATTATCTTTTATTTGGTTCTTACTGATATACAAAAGCATTTGCAAATACTGATATTCACTGTCTTACAAGGAGGATATATTCCAAAGCAAACATTGTTAAATTTATATTAATATATGCTTAAAAACTACATTAAGAATAAACTATATTATCCACTAAGCCATTTTTATTTGTTCTTTTTAGATACACACAGATGTACTATCCATTTTGATATGACTATTCAAACAAGAGTAACATTAAGAACTGTTTTTTAATGGTCACCATGGTATATGCCTTTAATTTCAGAGGAATTGTGGGCTCAAGGTTAGCTTCATAACTTAATGAGGCCCTTAACAACTGAGACCCTACCTCCAAATAAAATATTAAAAATGCTGGCAATGTTGTTCAATTGTTAAGCTCCCCTGTGTTCAATCCCTCATATTAAAACAACCAACCAACCAACCAAAACAACCATAAACAGCAAACCAAACCAAATACAGTTTCTGGATCATCTTAATTGCCTTTTATATTCAACCCAAGAGTTTATAGTTCCTCAAAATTACTTGTTTTTCCAATTGATTTAACTTTATCTCACATTATTTTCCAAAAAAATATCCACAAGGAATCAAGTATAAATCTGATTAATGTAATTACTCCATGTATTTCACAACAAAGTGCACTTTATGATTTACAGTCAACTTAAAATGGCTGACATCTTTTTCAAGATTTTATTTTAAAAATATATCACTCAGTGATTTCTTCTCTGCTAAATGGCAAAGTAATGTTTCTTATTTATTAAACTTATATATTATTTAATATTTATTTTACATTTCCCAATGAAAAACTTACTGAAAAAGTAGAAACATTTTTTCAATATTTTCACTTATGTTTTAATATTTTTATCAAATAAAACTTTTGCTCAAAAGCATTACAGTAGACTTTAAAATTAGTCACACAGGGTCTGGAGTTGTGGCTCAGTGGTAAAGTGCTTGCCTGGCATGTGGGTTTGATCCTTAATACCACATATAAATAAATAAAGAAATAAAGTAAAAAATCCACTGGCAACTAAAAAAATATTTAAAAAAAATTAGTCACCCAATTTTTCTACTGTAGGACAGAAGACATCATTATCTCATTATCAGGGATTCTATGGAATAATTCATGTACAAAATTTGTTGGCTTTTATTAGTTACAAAAAAATTACAATTCATTCTGGCATGATTATAAAAGCTTGAAATGCAACTTCCTCTAATTCAGACCCTAGTATATTTTCTTTTCTTTTCTTTTTTTTAAAGAGAGTGAGAGAGAGAGAGAGAGAGAATTTTACTATTTATTTTTTAGTTCTCGGCAGACACAACGTCTTTGTTGGTATGTGGTGCTGAGGATCGAACCCGGGCCACAGGCATGCCAGGCGAGCACACTACTGCTTGAGCCACATCCCCCCTAGTATATTTTCTATCACTTCTCCTTTCTCCTCATTTTCTCATTTACCTTTCCTCTACTATACTAATCTTTGTTATTTAAATTTTTTAAAGTAGTATCCTGTTTTATGAAATTCACTATGGTACCATATATAATTTTAAATACATCATCTGTGCTTTTTAACTTAAGCACTGCCATGAATGAAAACAATTAACTGCAAACTTCCAATTATGGCTTGCAATTATAGAAACCCCCCCAAGTGTAAACAAACGACTCATTAAAAATGCATGAAAAATTCACCTAAGTATCATGACAATATTCTGATCTACAATTCCTACCAAAACTAAATCTAAAAAAAAAAACAAAAAACAAAGGCATTCAGGAGACCCTAATGAAATATTAAAGAGAAATTCTGTGTCACATAAAATTAAAGGAATGCTTTCCTCAATTTGATGTTAATTATATTTTCTCAATCTATAATCAGATGCTGAAATATTTGCTCACAAAAATCTAAAAATTTTGAGTCAGGTGTGGTGGAATATTCCTTTACTCTCAGAAGTTCCAGAGGCTGAGGCATGAGGATCCTGAGTTTAAACCCAGTCTCAACAAAAATAGGGTGAGACCCCATCTATTTGAATACAAAATAGGGTAGTGAGTGTGCCCGAGTTCAATCTGGTATCCCCATGCAAAAAATGAAAACAAATCTACGAATTTTGAGATGTAGAGTAAATGAGCTGTCAATTAGAAAATGTCATATTCTTTCTCTGGTTTCATGAGTTTAATTTTTAAGTACCCAGTTTAAAATACCTTGTTCTTATTCATAATTTCATAATTAATGTAAATTAATTCCATTAATAAGAAACTAATTTTATTGTCATCATTTACCTCGTCCTCCCACACTACTACTGCTTCTTGTTGGAGCAGATGGAGCAGATCTTTTAGGAGGAGGACCTCCACTTCTTGATGTGGGACCTCTTTTAACAGGAAATGGCCCTCTAGAAGAACTTATATTGAGATTCACAGTATATCCATCATCATCTGTGTTTAAAAACAATATTGTAGTTTTTACATGATACAGTTTCAATTCATGTTTATGTTTGTTGCACACTATCATGGTCTTTAAAAAATCACATATCTACACAAACAAAACATCTTATTTCCTTTTACCATGTAAGCACATTTCAAAATTCAGGGTGAGGTCAATTTAGAGAAAACTAGAAAAAAATCCCAAGGGACATTTTGTACTGCTATAAAGAATGTGGAGGAGAAACAGAATTCCATCACTTTCTTATATTTTAAAATCCAGAAACAATTTTAAAATGTTATTAGGAGAAAGAGGATTAACAATTTTTCACCTAAGTTTTTTATCAAGAAATCTTTCAAAACATTACAGGCCTAACCAAAATATCATCCTAACATAAGGATTTGTATCCTCCTCAGAATTAAATGTGATTCATTAGAAAAATGTACTGCCTGAAAGATAGCTTAATATACAATATTTAGAATTTATTTATAATAAAACCATAACTAAATTCAGGCAAGTTTCAGCTTTAACTAAAAGCTAATAATTTCATGAAATGTGCATTAAATAGTGAAATAATTTTATTCAAGTGGAAAAATGAATGAAAACATGTATTTAAAATGCCCGGTAATTAAAACATGTGATAGTCTCATATATCTGACAAGAAAAAAAGTTGGTAAACTTTTGATTTTCAAGGTAAATTTAGTTGACGAAAAAAATAATGTAATATAAAACAAACTCTGCAATACCACTTCAGAAAATATTTCCAGTAAGTTACTTCATTGTCAAAATTGGCAGCTAAACATTTGACATTTTTTAACATTGGGTAATAAATTTTAAAAAGCTTCTCTAATTTGTGACAATTGGATTTTTAAAATGAAAAGTTCTACCCTTCTCTCTCCTACAAAGTTAAAAAAAAATACCACTATGTATGGTGTCACACAAATGTAATCCTGGAACACATGAGGCTAGGGCACGAGGATTACAAATTCCACACCAGCCTGGGTATTGTATGATCATTTCTAAGAAAATAAAAAAGGCTGGGGATGTAGCTCAATTGTGGAGCACTTGCCACACATGTGAACTAGGTTTCCTCTCCAGAACTGCAAAAGAAAACAAAACGGCATTTATGAAAATAGAACATCCATACTACTTTTTTTTTAACTTGAAATATTAGGGATTCAACACAGAGCCTGGTACTTGCTAGGCAAGTGTTCTATCATTGTATTATACATTCATCATTTATTTTACTTTGAGAAAAGGTGTCCTTAACTTTCCAAGGTTAGCCTCAAATTTGAATTTTATCAAAGCTCCCCAAGATGCTAAGGTAATAAGTTTACATCACCTTTCCTGGCTCATTAATTTCATTTTTAATGATTCATTCTGTTCTCAAAAAAGAAAGACACAACTGTGTTCAAGAAATATGATCAAAAAATCAAATTATACAGACAAATTGTGGGATATAGAAAATGAGTATCAATAATTATACATTGAATTTAGCTTATAATTTAATCTATTTCATTTTTAAAATGTTTAGATATAGCAATCATTCTCAAAATACTATAACACTTAAAACTGTTTTCTTTAATATATGAAGTTCATTTTTGCTCTTGACTAAAGTACAAAATTCTATAATACTTAGAAACTGTTTTATTTAGGGAGTGAAGTTCTTTTTTGCTCATGACTGAAGTAAAATTGAGATTGTTCTATCTACTCAAACTTACTTTTCAATCTTATGAATGCACTCATTCTTATATTTTATTTATTTGGTATTAGGTATTGAACCCAGAGGCACTTAAACTCTCAGCCACATTCCCAGCCCTTCTTTATTAATTTTATTTTGATACGAGGTCTATATAAGTTGCTTAGAGTCTCAATAAATTGCTGAGACTGACTTTGAACTTGTGATCTTCTTGCATCAGCCTCCCATGCTGTTGGGATTAAAGGCAAGTGCCACTGGGCCTGGCTCATGCCTAAAGTTTAAATATTACCCAAGTGTCCTGCACGTGAAGGACGCTCTCTTGTTCCTCCACTTCCTCCTCTGACACATCTCAGACTTCTTGGAGGCCCTCTGTTTCTTGAAAGAGATGGTAGTCTTCGCCTATTACCACCTTCATAAGATGGTTTGTTGGCTCGCTCTACCTTAATTGTTTTTCCATCCAAAGACTAAAATGATCAAGTACATTAAATGTCATGTCAATATTAGGGACTGAGAAAATTTATCTTTGATAAATTTACTTACTGAAACTACTCCTTAGTTTTAATGCAATGTTTTCCCCAAGCAAACATTTTCGTCTGATATAGCCATGTGATTTACAATGCAAAATTATAAAACAACTAATCAGCAAATAAATCACTTAAGTTAAATCACAGGAAGTACATATACTAATTGTTACAATACTTTGAAATACCTCTAATATTTTAAAACATTGACTAATATAAAAATTAACCTCAGACATTTTGAAGGGAAATATACAACATCTACTCTGTAACAATGCATAAAGCATTCTCTATATATCCACTGCTTGTATTTTTTTCAGTGAATAAAATAGCATTTGAAAGACTATATATTTAATACTACACATTTAATTTAAGCTCAAATCACTTATTTCATGCTTGGAAATTAGATGAAAAAAAGGCATTTCCATTAATTAATCTGCATGTCAAATACTTCTATACCTAATAAAAACTCAAAAACAGTTTTTAAAATAAAACTTCAAAATGTGACAATCGAATAAATGGTCTTCAATATACCATGAATGTAACTTTGCATTGCATAAATTAAGGGAACTGCAATTTGATATCCCACAACTGAAGTACTTAAACATTACTAAAGGTAGTTTAATAATGATCAAATTAATATGCTACAAATAAATTATCTAAAAACATAAGACAATGAGGATAAAATATATGTAGGAAACATGCAAATCTAAATAAATTATGTTTCTAGACTTTTCATATCTGATGAAAAGTGATTTTTGACAACTGCAAAAAAAAAAAAAAAAACTTAAATACAGGATGACATACTGGCAGACACTTCAAAGAGTAACAGAGTAATGGAAGGAAAAAGAAGTAAAAAAATGTCCCAGAATGAAGCAACCTTGACTTCAATGTTAAGGGATTCAGTATTTCATACAACCACTGAAAAGTTAAAGGTTATATGAGACAAACAACCTGGAGAGTTTAAGATCCAAAAAAACATGACTGTTGTATGAAAATAAACACTTGTCCACTACTATAAAACAGTATAGTTGCTGAAAAAAAATCCTTCTGGTTACTAAACAAAACATTTTTAAAAAGGGAATGGAAAATTAGGGGCAGAAATACCTATTACCTATTCTTATATATCCTCATCAGTTTATTCACCTTCTCCATCTGCAGTTAATTAAACATCTACTTAAATCTGAAACCTGTTTAAATGTAACTCCCTCAATAATGTTTGGCCCAGATTAATGGGAAGCAATTTTCCCTACATGTAAGACTCTGTAGGCTTTTACCCCAAATGCTTTTCTTGAGTTTCATTACACAAGAACATATTCATGAATTGCCTAGTTTTTTATTGTTTTAAATAAATACTGGCCTATTTTTATTATATTTGTGGGCATTCACTTAGAGTCCATTTACTTATTACAATACTAACATAACGTAACAGGATCAATGCTTGTTATTTAATGCTCTGTTTATTTCAGTTTCTTTCCAACTACAATTTTGAGGATTTATGTGATAAAAAGGAAAAAGTGGATAAAGATTATGGCACTCATGCCATCATGGAATATTAAAAGTTTTAGAAATATGAAAACAATCCAGAAAGATTCATACCTTCCCATTCATATCTTTGGCAGCATCCTTAGCATCAGCTGGGCTTTGAAAAGTAATAAAAGCAAAGCCTCTGGACTTGTTGGTTTCCCTGTCCTTCATCAAAAGAACTGTAATATATTTTAACTTTTATTAACTCGTATAATATTTAACTTTTAATATTTCCAACATTATCATAATAATTCACATAACAATTTCACACAAAGCTTTGTTTTTAATTAAGATACACACATATTTTCAGCCACTTGAAATATACCTTAAATAAACTCCCAGAATCTTACACTTCATTATTACAAGTACCTTAAGTAACAAAAGGAAATAACTTTACATCATGGAACATTAAAAAGTTTTAGAAATATGATATTCCAAAGCTGCAATATTTGAACATTACTAAAAGTAGTTTAATAATGATCAAATTAATATGCTACAAATAAATTATATACAACATAAGACAATGAGAGGCTAAAATATATGTAGAAAAAGGAAATGCCATCACATTTCACATTCCACCCACATCACTGCTATTGTTCTGTTCTCATTTTCAGTAGAAGGAGTTGCCTGCAAGAAACATTTTATGGAAAACTATGTGTAAATGACTACATAATAAAAAAAAACCTAAACTATTGTACTCATGTAAGTTTCAAGAACAATAAGTGTATTCTTTTTCATTTACTATTCAGTATAATCAATACAGATTTATTATTAAAAGTGTACAAGCTTTCAAGAATTACCTTCCAGTATATGTCCAAATTTCCCAAATACTACTTCAAGAGTCTTTTCATTGGTATCTGTATTGAGGCCTCCTATGAAAAGTTTCCCAGGCCGATCAGCTTCCATCATTTTGCTATAAGCAGCCAAAAGAATCAAAATTTATCACAGTGTTTGACACACGTAAAGTACACTATACTGGTTTAAACTTGGTCCTTCTTTTTTTAACTTTAAAAAATCCTAACAGTATCAGAAGCCACTTGAAAAATACCTTAAATATCAATGTTAATAAGTTAAAAAAAAACTAAAAAAAACTACCTAACTATGTAAAAATGTGCTGAGGAAGGCTAAATTTCATTCTTCTGAGCTACATACACAATTTCATTTTTATATAACATAATATATGCATAAAATATATACAGTACATTCACAAAATAGACTGATTAAATCAGTATAATTAACTTAACCATCACTTATTTTCTTAAATAATTTACAAATCTTTTAGGAAGACTATTTCAGATACTCTTAGTGATCCTAAATGCACAATAAATTATCAATTACACTTATTTCACTTTTAAAGTTTCTTAAACTAAAAATAAGTTAACACAACAAAATTTTATTTGGAAAGCATCTAATTCTTATCTTCAAAAATGTACCCCAAATTCTTTAAGAATATTTTAGTTTTCCTGCTTTTTCTCGTTTTATTACTCACAAATCATAAATTTACCAAATATTCCCCTTGTGAAAATCTTATAAAACATACAAAATCATAATTTATAAAAAATAAATCTTTTCCGAGTCATATTTAAACAAAAAAAGCCTGTCAGATTTTTTTAAAAATTTTATGTATTTAAAATACATGTTTTAAAGTATGTAATCCTAATTTAGATGGAATGCCAAAATTTTAATTTAGTTCAAACCATTTCAACATTTTGAAATCAGCCCATTCTACTTTTCAATAACTGTGGTTAAATATCTTGCTATATATTTTCAGATATTATCTATTCCTACACAACCGAGTCAGGGCGGTAGTGGATCAGTAGCAAGCAGCAAGTGGCAAGCATTGCTGGCGGTGTGGCAATGACAAGCGGCAGGCGGCAAGCATCGCTTTCTGCAAGCGTCGCGGGAGGCAGCAAGCGGCAAGCGTGCCGCCACAGGAGGCAAGTGGCAAGCGACAAGCAACAAGCCGCACCAATAGCAGCAGCTACCACAGCAGCAGCAAAGGCACTTTTGGTGGGGGAGGGGCCAGTGCCACGAGAATCAAAATGGCGACCTCCGTTACGTCCAGCAATGCGTGACTATACGCCATACCATGACAAAGCAAAAACCAACAACTATAAACCACTAATTTTATAAGAGTGATATATTTTACAGAAGACTAGTTTCCAACTAAAATGCATTCGTTTTCTAACCAGTTTTCCCACCTTCCAACTCAATGACTGTACACAATAAACCCATCACCCATTCATGCATACAATCCGGGAACTTTGCGGGATTTACTTTCTAATGAAACTCATCTTAAAGAGAATTTTTTACCACACAATTCAAAATTCATGTTTTCATACAGTAACATCAATCAATCCACATCTGCTTAAACCGCGATAGTACAATTTACCTTGACAGCATTTTTTTTTAAGACTGATAAAACCCTGAGAGAAAAATAGAAGACCTGATTACATTTACCTTTGTTTACGCACAAATTCACTACAGTTTATCCCTTCTTAAACATTAAATGGTCTTTCTGGTTAAAACTTTACATTCCTTACCTTTTTTTTTTTTCCAGATTCCCTTATAATCTGTGTTCCGGCCTCTCGGAGATTACCAGCTAAACTAACGGCTGAGGTCAATGGGGCAACCAATATAAGGAGCCAGAAGACACCCGGATGTACGTCTCTGATGAGCCGCAAAGGAAGTAGGGAACTTGGAGGACGCAAAACTGAAGGTGTGTCCTCAAAACATTAGCAAAGGGTTTGAAATGTGAAGAAAACTAAATCGCCAAATTGTTTTCTATTTACTTTTTTAAATTTATTTTTCCAACTGCTTTGATATAACCGAGCTTAAGGAAAATAGATTTTTATTATGAAGCCATCATCCATAATTTATCCCCCTTTCCAATATTGGCAATATTTTCACCCATGTAGAAGTGTGATTTTTTTGTTTGTTTTTTCTTAAATGTGAAAAACATAATAAGCAGTAAACTTTTAAAATGAATATAAACTAAATAAAAAATGAGGATTTTAAAAAGCAAAATTAAGAAGTTTAGAAACTGAAATCAACTGTATCTTCCTAAATAATTGTGAGGGCTTGGTGTTTAATTTTCCTACATAGTAAATGAATGTTGAAATATGAGACAAAAATCCAAAGTAATAAATATATATTACCATGACCCAATGTCTTTTTTCCTGTAATTTCTGAGTTAAAAATAATATCCTTAATAAACAGAACTCTTAAGTGAAATAAATATTCATGCCCCTAAAAATTTTTGCACTGCATTTTTTATTTTTCCTTTTTAAAAAATCATTATTTCCTCCAGATTAGTTTGCAGAATAAAATTCAATTTAAAAAATTCAATAAATAAAGAAATAACCAAAAATTATTTCAAGAATTGTCAGTACTTTGCTTAAAGATTTTATATATTCATGAATTATCTGTGTCTTTCAGTTAAGAAGTATGATCCTAAATAAAATTATTTGTTATCATATAAACCAATAATTACAATGCTAACCATGATATTTGACAATTAAGTGTTCTTTCTATTACGCTGTATTAATATTTGTCTGTATAACCCCTTAAGGAAAAACTGGAGCTGAGAAATAGAAGCTTGGAAAGCCAAGCAGTCGCACTCTGAAAAGAAGCTTGGCAGAGAGTCTGCACAGCTACAATAGATTTAAGCATGATGGAGTAGGGGCATTCTGATTTTGAGAAATAATTTTCTAGGCAAAGAGGCATAGGCAGGCAGGAAGGTGGGCGTGGTAGGACCGCCCCATCATCTCCATCCCCCAAAGCCAGAAAACAACTGCCTGTTGGAGTTTTGCCTAATCCTTTAACTCTAAGAATATGAAGTGTGTGTGTGTGTGTGTGTGTGTGTGTGTGTGTGTGTGTATGTTTTGCAAATCAAAGGTATATGTACAGCAGGTTTCAGTGGTGCCATGCTTGTAATCCCAGCAATTTCAGAGGTTGAGGCAGGAGAATCATGAGATCAAAGCCAGCCTCAGCCGCTTAGAGAAATCCTGTGCAACCTGGTGAAACTCTGTTTAAAAAACATACAAACATGTGGCTCAGTGTTTAAGCATAAATGGGTTCAATGGGATGAATTTGCATAGTACCAAAAAATAAAATTAAATTTAAAAAATGAAGTGGATATTTTCTATGAGCTTGTTCTCTGTTGCTCTGAGTTGCATCTGGGAACAGTTCATTTGTTTCTGGTTCCCGAGTCTAGTTTGATTCTCTTTCACTGGAGTATACCTTACTTGAAGTCAAAGTTGAATCTGAGGACTGCTATTCTCAATATGAGCCTTTTGAAGTATTTTTAATCCTCATCTCAACTGAGTATTAATCCAGTGTTTTTATGAGTATACTCCGAGAAAACTTGTGACCCTTATTTACAGATGGTACACCCTGGGCTTGGATTTGGATCAAATTTAGTACATTAATTTCTGAGATAAGTCTGGGTCCTCTGGGGGGCATCTGAATTTCTTTGTAAGGTGTGTCCAGTATCCAGTAAAATATCTGATTTGCAGTTTTCATGAGCTTCAACTGGAGTGGTTCCTGAACATCTTCTATTTTATTATCATAGGTCTGGTATTTAAGATCAGTTAAAGTGTTCTAAGTAAAATGACCTAACCTGGAACTTTGGTAATGAACTAAACCTGAAATGTTGAGAGCTAAATCCCAGCCACTGAGTTAACCTGTTAATTTCTGAGTTCAATCTGGTTCCATAGAAGCATATAAAGAAAAATACATGATTTGTATGGTTCCTGCAAAGTAGATTTTAGGTTTCTTTTGATAGATCTGAAGTCCCATGAACTGAATTTTCATTCCTGAATTAACTCTAAAGTCCTGAGATGAGTATTTTTTTCAAGTGGTGTAAATAGGGATACCTGGGTTAATTTTCAGTCCCTACAGGAGTATCTGTGGAGTCATGAGATGACTATAATGTCTCCTGACCAGAGTGTGATCCCTAAGGAGGGTCTATTTTCCTGGAAATATTTAATTATACTAAATATAGGCAAGGTGATTAACTGGCTCAGGTGAACAAAAATGTACCATAAAAGGATGAGATTCACCTTACTTCAGGAAAACATAATTATTTCTGGGGAAAAAAGACAAAATTTATTGGCTCTAGGATTAAGCTATCCATTATTTTATGAGGAAATTTTCTTAAATATTATTCAATGTATATTGTGGTACATTTTTGAGATCATTGTATGGTTTTTGCTTTGAAGTTATTCTTGAATTGGTGATTTAAAACCAATTTAATATTGGTATATTTATTTTTATTGATTATTTTTTTGGAGATTATATATATATATGTATATATATATATACACACACACACACATATACACACACAAGAATACATGCATATTATATGTATATTATAAAATACTGGATTATAACATTGGATGGAGATTTATATTTATATTTCTCATATTTTACATTTACTCTCTCTCTCTCTCTCTCTCTCTATATATATATATATATATATACACACACACACACACTCACACAAGGATTCATGTTTTTAAAAAATAAAGCATTGATATAATTTTTTTTTAATTCATTCCTTTCCCTCTTCATCTTTCTCCCATTTCACCCTTTCCCCTTTTCTCTATTCTACTGGTTTCTGATATTTACTTATTTTTTTTCCTTTGTTTTATTACCTTTTGAATATACCTAGTGGTGAAATTTACTGGAGCACATTTCCTTCTTTAATGTGCTATTGAATTCAACTTCCTTACACCTTGTTGACATTTTAGAGCTTCTCTATCTATGTTTATCATGGATTTATTTTCTTTTTCCTTACCATATACTTTGTTTTTTAAATTTCTTTGTGTCTCCATCTTTGATATTAGGAAAATCATCTTCTAATTCAATGATTGTACATATGTTTCCTCTACTTCAACTCTTTA